CTGGTCAAGGTGGTGATAATAACGAGGAGGAGTTTTCTGAAGTAGTGACGTCCTTCCAGCTAAGAATTACCCAGCTAAAAGTATGTAGATTTTAATTTTAGTCTTACAACTTGCATACAGTTATACCAGACCCAAGAGTGATGTTTGAAGCTAAATGGCTTTAAAAAGAAAACAATTTTCATTTTTCATCAAAATCTTCCAACCTAACAGTTTTAGAACCCTCAGATATTGTTTATAGCAGTATTCTGGAATGTATTACCCAATATAAAAAATTTAGGAAACCAACTCTCTGTCCAAGCCAGCTTAGAAAGGAAGACCAAATCCTGCAATCAATTGATGCAGACAAATGCCACTCCATTAATTTAATAACAGGTTTCTGCAATCTGCTTTCAGGGCTGAATCTTACACAAACAGCACGGAGGAGATTTAGAAACAGAGTGACATAATCTTGGTGTACATTTTGTGCTGTCTTTTAAGTATTTTACTATCCTTACCCTATTCAATCACTCCTTGTGCACTGCCCTCCTATCAAAGGATGCGTATATGTAGACATTTCCACGCTATTGAAGTGCCAATGTAGCTAAAATTGAGGAATTCAAAAATTGCTGTCTATATAGCTGTTAAACTAATTTATTCCACCACTTTGAAGGCAATAGGGGGTTTTGTGATGCTTTCATGATTTGATAAGAGGGCTGTAGATTTCATTCCATCATAATTCTAGGTGCCAGACATTTTGTATTTCACTCCAGTCCCCATTGAGTTGCTAACAATTGTCTGCAATCAAAGCACTTGTGGATGTCTTGCAAATCTTTTACTTCCTTTTTTTTTTTTTTCAATATGTAATTCAATTTCACATTAGAAGACTTTGCTCAATATACATCTAAGATCTGTCGATCCCAAGCTACACAAAAGATTTTTGTTAAAAGATACAACAGGTCTTTGACTCAAAAAGTACAGCCTAGGTCATGATCTGGGGTAAATTTGTATCTATAGTGTCTTTAACCCTGTGGAGATGCCATGCAGTGAGTCACAGAATGAAAAAATATAAGCTGCAGCAAATAAAGTCCTACATAAGGATGTAAACCAATAAGAGACTATTACTTGCCCCTCCCATTAGCTCTTCTCTTGCAGTTTGGTGAAATTCATGCTGTATCAAGTGGTAGTTGTTTCCTAAGCAACTTATCAGACTCAGTTTCTGTACAATACCTATCATTTCGTATTTTTTAATGGCCAAGAGCAGTATAATTGGCAGGTCATACACTATTGCTTTTGTTGATAGATTTACCACTTTGCATTCTTTTAGATATGCAGTAGTTGAAGCTAATATGAATCTGTAAATCCCAGAAGATTGTCACTATGCAAAAGTGAATTCCATTGCCCATGAAAAGCAGAATGAAGGTACACCTGCATGAATAATTTTTTCTGTGTATGTGATGTAGCAGGGATCTTTATGCTGACAAGCCGATTGCTAATGGGATGCTGTGTGGTGCATGGACTGGGACATGCTAGATCTGAAGTCCTAAAATGACAAGTTAAAACCAAGATAAAGTATATTGAAACTTTGTTCAGGAAATGTCTACAAGGGTTGACTATATTTTGTTTTCTTTTACATTAATTTATAGCTTTACAGGAGTTGGAAATGGAAATCATGTATCAAAATAAATTCTTACTAACATTCTTCTGTAAATGAGATAATAAAATCTTATCTGATACATGGAAACAACTCTCATCTGAGTGTTTCTGATACTAGTCCATCTTATCCAAATGCTCAAAAAATCACGAAACATCATCGTCATAGAACTGTATTCATACCAGCCTGTTGAGGTGCAGTGAAAAGAATTTTTTTTTCTTTTTAAGTGGGATTTTGCCCTTGTTACTGACTTTACTTGTGATACAGAGCTACTGTTCTTGGGCTAGCATAAATCAGCATCTCTTCTGTCTCTATTGACTTGAGTGATTGGATCACTTGAGAACCTATCTTGAAATTCTTACTCCATCTGAAAGCCTGTTTTGCATAATCTATATGTTTACAGCAAAGCATTTGAAAACCACTTTAGAGCGGTGCTCAGTACGTGGCCTGGGATAATGCTTGTGGTGACAGGCATACACTGCTACAGTCAAGAGTTGACAAGACAAGGAAAATATGAAGTTGCCTGTAGCCCATTTCTTGCTTAGTGTCACATGCTGGTCAGCAAGGATTGTGGGCCATTCGTTTAGAGCACTTCAGTTTTGGGGGGTATTCTTTTGCACACCTCAAACTTGAAAGCTAAGAATCAAAATAATGTGCAATTGGCATTTAAAATATCACCATCTTTGCTGCAAGATTACAGTATTTGTAATCTAACTGAGATCTTCTTAGTGCTAGAAGCATCATATCCACCTGGGAACCAAGTTGTTTCCCCATTGTGAGACACCCAAAACCTTAGATAGCAATCCTTAAACATGTTACGTGAACAGTTCTGCATCTTGCCAATACTGGTGTTCACACCAGTTATTTCCTCTCCTTTTCAATCAAACACACAGACACAAGTGAGAAAAAGAGGGGAACGATTTCTTTGACAAGTTGCTTAAAATAAATAGGAGATTTTGGAGGTGCTGGGAAATTTGGAACGACAAAGATAGACCAGCCCTGTGGTCTGAGAAAAAGTGGTACTGGCAAAAGTGCTTAGCAAACCATGAAACGATTTGCAAAAGGAAAACTATGACTTTGCACTCTATGTCAATGTATAATGATGATACCCCGATCACATAGACTTGTTTGGGCACACAGAGCCTGGAGTGGTGTTAGGGAAGTGTTACCGGTATAGACCCATTTAGACAGTGGTGCATTTACAGCTAGCAAAAATAATGAGTAATGAAGATCATCCCAAATGTGCTCAATAGAGCTTTTACCCTTAGAAAACCCAAGGATATACATTTCTTTTCCACGCATAATGCACCATGGTATCCATATGTATTAAATTTGTTTGAGATATGTTCCATTCCTTTTTGCTGGAATAGTCAGACTGAGAGCAAGTTTCACTACACGTGGCACAGTGGTACTCTGGGCCCAGAACGAGTGTTCCCTGATTATTCATGCATGCACCAGATCAGAGAACAAACGCTAGATATATTGACATAGCTTGAATACTTTGGGTATACTATTCTAACATTCCCATGGAAATACAGTACTTTTCTGCCCGTGATTTTACATCGATGTGTAAATCAAAAATTCCTGTCAGTCCAGCACTGAGTTTTACCAGCCTTCAGCCTCAGGTTCTTGTTGATATCTGGTTCATATACAGACATGGTGAATGAAACATTTCAGTGGTGTAATGGTGACTAATAGCAGAGACTCAGAAACAGCTCAGAAATCAGGAGTGTCAGATGTAGTCCCAAGTTAGCACTTGCAGGTGAGTTTCACAGTGCAGAATTAGCGTGTTTTACCTTGATACTTCCTGTTCTTATCATATGATTGCAGAAGAAAAAAAAAGTGCCTATTATACATCTAAAGTAAAGTGATTCAGTGTACAGAGTATCCACCATCTTCCTTTCAGGGCTATATTTCAAGAGGTTTGGCACTGAAGCAGACGAGCTGTGTGAGAACAGAAACCTCCACTGGTGAGCAGGGAGAGTGGCTCTAACATCAGCCACGGAACAGAAAGCTGAAAAATGGGTGGGGGATGGTGTAATTTTAACGAATAATTAAACGTTCTTTAACTTAGTTGTTTGGGTTTAGGGGTTTTTCTTTTGAATACACAAATGATACATTTTATATTTATCACACAAACAAAATCTTGTCTGTTTCATCTGGAAGCATGTATTTTCTCCCTTTGTGTAATTCCAATTGTTACAAATGTGAGAAAGTGGTGAAAATATGTCTTGATGAATCCCCCTCAGCCCCCCAAAAGGATGCCCTTACTATTTTTTTTTCCTGGAAGCAAAAAATAAGCAGATACTTACTTGATCCCAAAGGCACAATGTGGTGTTTGAAGGCACTGACAGTGGGGGGAGAGGGGGACACGATGCGTTCACCCCGCGGGGAATGCCGGCAGCGTTTGGCCGGCG